CCATTGAAGTATGAAGTTCAATAGCTGATTAACTACATACGGCACTAAATGGCATAACCTCTTCATCCTTGTTTTGATTTTGCACTCATTTTACATTCTCAGAATGCAGTGAGATCAAAATACTGAACATTCTTTTGGTTTTCAAGTTGTGAGTGTAGGTGTCAGTTACAATTTTGGGCATCGAGGAAGAGCAGAAAAAAAATGTGGACAAATGAATGGTTTCAACTATTGGACAAACTGAGCGTTTTTAATGAAATTCAATAATGAAACAGTTTGCATGACGGTACTGCTGTGTCTTGAGGCTGACTCCAGATTTGGTTAGACAGCAAGGTCTTCGGTTCAGGATAAGAGGCAGTGGGCACAAAGCGAAACACAGGAGTTGAGATCCGAACATCGGGAAATGGTGTTTTGCTGTCTGGATGAGCAAGCATTGGCACAGGCTGCCCGGAGGCTGTGGGTTCTCCTCCTCAGGGATCTCCAGACCTCCTGGCCATGGGCCTGGGCACCCTACTCTGGGCAGCCCTGCTGGAGCAGGGGTGGGACCTGATGGGCCCAGAGGGCTCTGCCCTCCTCAGCCCTGCTGGGACTCTGTAAACACAATTAATTTACACTATGTTAACGTTTTTTATGTCTTCTTCACAAATACAGGAGCTGGATTTTTTTATTTTTGCTAAGAGTGAAACTTGGGATTTGTAAGTACAATTTTCCGACACAAAGATTGGTAAGGACAGGATTTTAATGTCTCATGCACTGGGGTGGATGGGGCTTCAGACAACAGTATAACAATTTCAGTAAATTACAGATCTCTGTTCCACATATTGTAGCCTAAGATGAAATAAACCGGTGCCATCACAACTAAATGTATCTATACTGACTAGACCTGACACATAGGCATAAAGCAGAGTGATGCAACAGCAACAGGAACTCTGTGGTAGCTATAACTTGACACAGCAAGAACCTTGTGGTAAGGACCAGGATGTAAGTTAGTTTATAGCAATGTTGCGGTTATGTAGACCATAGGACGAGCCAAAGGTGAAAAGTACACTGGGAAGCCTTCATGAGGAAGACTTGAAGACCCCTGCCCACAACCACCAGGGAGCAGCATGCATGCGTGTGGAGGTGGAACGAATTATAATGACTTCCTCAAACTAATTGGAATATTATGATGAGTTCTCAGAATTGTTTAAGCAAGCTCAGCCCACCGTTTATGTAATCCAATGCAAATGTAGATGTTGGTGTGTGAGTTAGGAAGAATTATCTCCCTCATACCTGGCACCATAATAAACATACCTGCTTTATAACCTTACGTGGGTTATTGAGGTTGATTCCACATGTCAATACTTTTTTCCAGATCTCTAGCAAATGCGACCTCCCTCACCGGTCTGGCAGTTTCTCTCTGCTCTTGCATATTCCCTGCTTCCATTTGGTTGTGCATCTTCCTTCTTAATATTACTGGAGAAAAAGAAGGGAGAGTAGAAGTGCTACATGTACCAGCAGCAAACTGAAAAACTGCTGTTTGTGTTCAGGAGCTTGCGGAGGATGACAATTTTAGACAATCTGTGGAGCTTTCTCCTTTTGCAGGAGAGCAGTTGGAGTTGAGCAGAAGTTGAATTATTGTATAATTGCAATAAAGTCATATTTACGTGCCAAAGATGAAAGGTACCAAATGCGTCAGAGAAGAAATACCAGAGCTGTCATTTCTATGGTGTGGCATTCCCTCAGCCTGAAATTTGTATTGCGAAAGCAGCTTGTTCAAACTCTTCTAGAACTCTTTTACTTTGGTTGGCAGGAAAGTGTTTAGATTTTTTAGTGCTTTTTGGGTTTGGGATTTTTTTTTTTTTTAAACATATATATCAGAGAACAGAATAAGAATGAATACCCAGCTGGCACAGTGTGAATTTGCCGATCAAGTGTGACTGTATCACTCACTTAAAGCTGAGCTAAAGAGGTCTCCAGACAGATAGCACAACTCAGGCATGGCTTTTCTAGCCTTTATCCCAGGAGTCCGGAAAAAAAGCAACAGCAACAACAACAACAAAAACAAAACAAAACACCCAAGCTACCAAAAAACCACAAACCTCATGAGATTTACTTACAGTCTGTGTGGACTTGCTAAAAGCTTTCATGTGATGCCACACAGGGATTGCCTAGTTAAGCTGAAAAAGATGGGAAACTGAAACAAAGCTGCAAATTCAGCTGGGATTTCACTGCAAATGACAACATGCAGCCCTGGAAGGGGAACGTGTAAACTGGGAAAAGTCGCTATTACTGTTTCTTAAAGTTTGTCCTGGGACCAAGAGTTTTAATTTGCATGTATTTGCATAAACATGAAAGCCGGAGTGCTCTGGGCAGGACTGTCAGGACAAATGAGATTCAGAACATCTCCAAGATAGCATAGAACCACAGAATCAATAGGGCTGGAAAAAAACCTCTAAGGTCATTAAGCCCAACCCATCCCCACCATGCCCACTACCCGTGTCCCTCTGTACCACAGCCACATGGTTCTTCAGCATCTCCAGGGACATCTCCACCACCTCCCTGGACATCCTTTCTGAGAAGAAATTTTTCTTAATATCCAACCTGAACCTCCCCTGGTGCAATTTGAGGCCATTCCCTCTTGTTCTATCACTGCCACCTGGAAGAAGAGGCCAACCCTGTCTTGCTACCACCTCCTTTCAGGTGATTGTAGAGAGGATAAGGTCTCCCCTGAGCCTCCTCTTCTCCAGACTGATCAATACCAGTTCTTCCAGCTCCCCATAAGATTTTGCTCCAGACTTCTCACAGCTTCATTGCCCATCTCAGAACACATTCCCATGGCCTCCATGTCTTTCTTGTATTGAGAGGCCCAAAACTGAGCACAGTATTGAGGTGTGGGCTCACTAGAGGTGAGTACAGAGGGATATCATCTTCCTGCTCCTGCTGGCTGCACTGTTTCTGACACAAGCCAGGATGCCATTGGCGCAGCAATCCAGCCTATCCACATCCCTCTGTAGAGCCTTCCTACCCTCAGGCAGGTCAACACTTTTTCCCAGTTTGGTGTCATCTCCGAACTTACTGAGGGTGCACCCAATCCCTTTGTCCCTGGTTATTAATAAAGATATTAAATGGAACACTACTTGTGTTCCATTTAATATGTTCCATTTAATATTGTGTTCCCAATCCCTGGGGAACACTACTTGTGATTGGTCACCAGCTGGATCTAACAAACTCCATTCATCACCACTCTCTGGGCTTGGCCTTCCAGTAACTACATCCTGTTGGGAACTGGAAGGACAAAAAATGAGATGAAATTCAATAACAGAAAAAATAAGGTCATGCACTTAGACATTTATAAAAAGCATTTTTATTACAGACTGTGAATGACAGACAAGGAGAAGTAGTCGCCTGTATTAGTTGCTCACAGCATGATCCCAGAACATCGCTGTGATTTGGGCATATGCAAAGCATACTACCTGTATGAAGAAAAAGTTGTCTTGGGAGACACTGGAGAAACTTCATCCATTGCAATAATCTGTGAAAAAAAATGTTGTATTTCATGTCAGCTGTGTGTGGAAGAAAGCTGAATTGAAACTGTGTCTGGGACTCTTGGTCCCAGAATTATAGGAGACCAAGAATAGTGGTAGGACAAAGGAGTGGTTTTAAACTGAGACAGAGGAGGTTAAGGTTGGATATTAGGAGGAAGTTTTTCATACAGAGGGTGGTGACACACTGGAGCAGGTTGCCCAAGAAGATTGTGGATGCCCCATCCCTGGAGGCATTCAAGGCCAGGCTGGATGTGGCTCTGGGCAGCCTGGTCTGGTGGTTGGCAACCCTGCACATAGCAGGGGGGTTGAAACTCGATGATCATTGTGGTCCTTTTCAACACAGGCCATTCTATGATTCTATGATAGCAGTAAAAAAAAAAAAAAAAAAAGTGCTAGCCTTAAAACACGAGTTCTGTGCCAGCCCCACAGCCTAATGATCCAAGGGGTTTATCCACTTAGCAGAGCAGATTGCAGCACACAGACATCTGAGCAAGCTTTAACTAACCTCGCTCGGCGCCTGGTGCCAGCAGAGCAGGTTAACGTGTTGCACCTCACTGAGGAGCGGGGGTCTGCTGACATCTGGCATCACAGCGAACAAAGGGAGCGAATAATTACAGAAAAACGTTTACATGGCAGGGGCAGTCGGCACTGAGCTCCGTGTATGCTGGAAGGAAACAGCTCTTTCAGTTTTAATGGTCCAGGACGCAGCTCGTCATCACATTTAAGAAGACAACAGCCTGACTTCCTTGCACCCACGGCTATGTTTGTGATCTTACTTGGGGCTGCTCTGATGGCAGGCTACGCTCAGGTCCCACCACACAGGTCTTGGGGCAAGAAGGCGGCGTGCAGCAGTAGCAGCAACAGAGAGAAATGGTCAGCTCTGCTCCCACAGAGGGATGCTTTGCACAGAAGGATAAAAAACTTGCATACAGTATAAGTGACAGCGGAAAAAAAACACACCATGTTGAAGGCACAGATACTGTCTGCGCTTTCCCTATGTAAAAATGGTGACGGTGCTGTCAGTTCGCTGTCAGTTCACCCCCAACTTTCAGCAAGGCACTGAGCCGGCTCTTGGGATACCCGTCCTGCGCTGCCGGCCGCCGAGCATCCCCTCGCAGGTGACCGGGGAAAAAAAACCAACACAGGCGGTTAAAAGCTCTGGGTTACGAGTCCCTGACCCGACCCCAACCCATTGGCTTGGAACGTCCCCGCCAAGCGAACGGGGCTCCGCACTCCGCCGTTGCCCCACGGCTCGCAGCGAAGCGCTCCGGCCGCTCCCCGCGGTGGGACCGCAGCCGTCCTCCCCCCGCCTCCCGCGTAGCCCCTAGCTCCCCTCGGCCGGGGGAGGGGGCTGCCGTCACGTGTGCCGCTCGCTCCTTCCTCCCCCTCCCCCCCTTCTTCTTTCCCTCCTCCTCCTCCTCCTCCTCCTCCTCCCCCTGCGCGGCGGCGGCAGCGCACCGCCGGGCTCCGCTCCCTTTGTTGCAGGCGGAGCGGCGGGCGCCGCGCACAAAGGAGCGCGGCCGGGGTACCGCTCCCGAGTCCCGCAACGCCCTGCTCGGCCCTGCCCGGCCCTGCCCGGCGGCGGCAGCTCCCCGCGGGGATGCTGAAGGTGCGCTCCGGCGCGGCGGAGAAAGGACGGTCCCGCCCGGGCGGCGCCGCGGGCTCCGCTTGAGGCTGCGGGCCCTGCCGCCGCCATCCCGCCGCTCCCCCGCCGCCCCTCGCCATGGTGGCGGAGAGCCCGGCCGCCGCCCGGCCGCCGCCGCGAGCGGGACCCCCGCGGGGGCTGTGCTGCGCCTCGGCCCTGCTGCTGCTCGCCCTCTCGGCGCTGCCCGCCGCCCGCGCCTCTCACCCGCTGGCCGCCGGCGAGTGCCAGGGCGGCGGCAAAGGGAAAGGCGGCAACTGCTCAGGTAAAGCCCCGCGCCGCCCTGCCCACGCGTGCACGTGGGGGAGCGGAGCGGCGCGGAGGAAAACAAAGGGGAGACGCTGCCCCGGGGGCTCCGCTGGGCGCTGCGCGGGGCGAGGGACGGGCGGCCGAGAGCCGCTGGGATGGGGCTGGCTCCGTGCATGGTTAGATAGATAGACAGACAGATAGACAGATGGAGAGATGCTGGCGCGGTGCGATTTCAGCGCGTTGGTTCGGCGTGACAGCAGCGCATCATCGTGCATCGTGAGGGATATGGCCGTTTGTAAAGCGGGGCAAAGTAAATACCGTATGAAGTTTCCGTTTCGCTAGCAGGGCACGTTTCTCCCCTCCAGCCCCTCCTGGTGAGGGCAGGTCGTCCTCTTTCCCCCACTCCGAAGCGCCGCTCCCCACAAAGGACCGACGCTCCGTGCCTTCTCGAGGCGATGAACGGCTCCGTGCCTCCCGCCCCATTGTGTGCAGCGGACGCGGAACTGAGCCCAGGCACGGGGAGCTCCGTCCTCGAGGCTCCGGACCGCAGCCGTGACAAAGTGAGGAACAAACCTCACCGCCGCCCGCACTCGGTGTGCTTATTTGGTCTGAATTCATCCGGTTTGGTGGTCCGCGCGTTGTACCGCAACGCCGTTGCGGTGCGGCTGCCTGACTTCTGTATTGTGTTTGCAGGAATACTGTGGTCGTTCTTTAGGAGGGGTTAATAGGTCAATGTGTCGCCGGCATTAGCGGCTCAGCGGTCAGAGACTTGTGGGTCGTTGGAGGAGAGCAGGGGCATAAATTAGCGAGGAGGAGTGTGAAATATCAGAAATATCGGAGGAAGTTTCTAAGACAATGTGAGATGTGTGGACACTGCTGGAAGAGGGCATCCAGGCTGACACCATCAAGTACAAAAAGACAGAAGCAGATATACATGCCATCTACAACACATATGGCAGGCACTGGTTGTGGTGTCACTGTAAAAATGTGGAAGAAAAGTTATGCTTAAAAAGGCAGTAGTAGTCAGGTTCTGTTGTGTGGTAATCGCTTCACACATGATTGCCATGTTTCCGTTTTCCTCGTTGATTTTAAAGAGCCTGATATCGATACGTGGTGTCTGGGACAGGTTTTCCCTTTGCTCATCCCAATACGGCTTCATTAAGTTTTACCAGGTAGGTCCTTCCCTGCCAGAGATGACTTCCCTGTACACGTGGAGCATCAGCAGTTCTCTGTGGACTGCCTTGCTCTCCTCACTGTTTGCACAGAGCAACAAACTTAGAATTCTGTGACAGCTTTTTCTTCAAAAGTTGGGACTCACATAATTACTTTCTGTGCTCAGAGAAGCGGAATCCAGACCTTGACTATTACTTTGTCATTTTGATGTTTGTATCAGGTTGACCGAATGCCCTGGAGCAGTTTCTTAAACTTTTTGTGTTGGTCCCTGAGGCTGTAGCATTTCCTCACCACTCGGTTTTGTAGCTACCTTTATTTTCTGTTAAATTGTTAGGAAATGCTGAAGTCCTCTCCTTAGTTCCTCTGGAGCATGCTGCTAAAGAAAGAGTTTGCTGTAGCAAAAGAGCACTGCAAGGTGGACAACATGGGCAGATAACATAAAAATTCAGATGGCTTTTCTAGCCTTGATTCTCTCCCTTCTGCCCAGGCATTGCAGTACCATCTTTTGTTAAATTCTGATATAATGGCATCATGCCTTGCCAATGGCCAAGGGAGGATCATATAATCAAGCAATTAGAGCAAGAAACAGAGAATTTGGACATAGCTGCCATTAATTGGTGATGTGATGTGGACTTCTGTGCATTTGTTTATCTGTCAGTCCTGCTTCGCTAAGTGAGAAAACTGAAATAACTTGATTTTAGTTAGAATGCTGGATAAAACAGTTGGTGGGATGTAGGTTTTGTTTTGTTTCTGTGAAAGAGAACAGGCACCAAATGTTAGGGTTGATGTTTTAGAGGTGTTATCTTATTGCCAGATTTACTTGTAGTCATCTTGTGCAGTGCTTCTGGTACCCAATGGCTGTAAGCAGGATGATGTGATAGCTGCTTATCTGCTCTGGTAGTCTTGTCCTCAATAAGAATTGGGAAAGGAAGTATAAAATAGATTTAGTTTATGAGTTGGATTTGGGAATCTCCACGCTGCACTCTTCAGTTTCAATCTGGATGGATCCCCTGTGTGAGGTGTGTTGCAGCCGTGGGGGTTCATTTTATTGCAACTGCCCAAATTCAGTGCATTGCAGTAAGATTTGCTTTAAATTTGAGCACTTGGGATTCCAGTTAGCAGCAATATATCTCTGTTGGTATGCATTTCAGCTGCTCCTTCCTTTATGTGATCATATATGCTTGTTGGGATGATTTCACACACTTCCTATGAGTCTTATAGGCCATATGCTGCCCTTGGTTTCTTAAAGTCTCTTTGAGCAATGTCTGTAAAGATAAAATTGTTTCAAAATAGCTTATTGAGGACTGGATGAGGCCAAGGAAAAGTAAGGGACACGTGGTCTTCCACAGGATTACCCTTCTGAGGAGCATTAAAGTCTTTCTTTGCAACAATCGTAAGGTCTCTGAAATAGCTTGAAGATGGAAGTAGATGGAAAATGTTGATTAGAGAGAGGAAAGGGGAGAGCTGGACAAAGGAAAGTATCCATCCTGTGTGTAGGGTGATAGTGGAGAGTATGATGTGCTGTTTATTGAGCATGGAACTATAAGCTGTCAAAAAGCTTATAAATTTTTAGACAGAACAGCAGAGAAAGCTATAGGGGAGCAATCCTTCATCACATACACATTACCTTAAGTTTCAGTATGCTTTAGAAAAATGGTTTCTACCCTGAAATAATTCACAGAGTAAATTAGACAGAGAATGTGAAAATGGACAAAAGAGAGCGGTGAAGCAGGGAACATCAAGTGGTGAACCATCAGGAGTACAGCAAGCAGAAGCAAAATTCATGCATTATGATATGGTAGGATGAGAAGAGTAGACATCAGAGGTGGATTGAAAGCATCGTGATGCTGGGCAACAAGAGGGTCCTGAGAAGGGATGGGAGCGGAAAGTATTGGTTGACCAGTACATGAGAAGAAGGGAGTAAGGAAGCTGCATGAGAAAAGATAGAAAGCTGAGAATGGGAACAACTCACAAAGGATAACAAGAATTAGCCACATTGTATGTACATTTTCAAAGCATGTTTGTGCTTGTGTGCTTGCTCCTTGTGTGAGCAGAGCTTTAGAGATAGAAGATTTGGGAAGGGCACAGAAGGTGAGCAGGAAGAGCAAAGGGAGATGGCAGTCTCATGCAGATAAGGCAGGAACATCCCCAGAACATGATAATAACTCCAAGTAGTGTAACAGCAAAGGAGAGAAATTACACTAATTGTTCATTTTTGCGCACACTCAAGGAGGGAGCAGTGCATTTAAAATATGTCTTCTGTCACTGTTGCTAGAGATGCATGTAGTAACATAGATAAAAAAGATCTCTTTTTGTTTGGTCCTCTCTTCTTGTTTGCTTTCTAGCACTGATGAATCTGCCATCATTCAGAATTTGAAAGTCTTTGTCCTTGTTCTCTCCTGCTGTTATTGTTGTTTCCCCATATCCTTGTCATGCAGCAGAGGTTGTTCAATTAGCCACTCTTTATTTCCATTATTTTGTTAGATGATATCAAGTCTGTTCTCCAGGCACAATAGCAAGGATCCCCAAGATTATCATTGCTGTGTCAGCAGAAGTGCCACAGCATAAACATATTAAGAAAAAAATTATCTGCACAAGTCATCTCTTTACTACTTTGATGTGGTGCATGTAATGTATTTTTAAAATATGTTACATGATAATATTAACAACATATTTTTTAAATTACCTTCAGTAATCAAGGACCAGCAGTGAAAAATAACACATCATCTGTAGTTTGTGTGTGGACTGCTAGTGCTGCTGACTTGTTCAGTGCTTAATAGCTTGTGGAGATTGTAGGAAGTGGTGAAAACAAAGGTCACTGAAGCCGAACCAAAGTAGCGATGCTTGAAATATGTTGCTTTTCTCTCTCCTTGAGTGTGGCCCTTGCCTTTGCTATGTCTCCTTCCTTCCAAAACTGTTTGATAGTTAGCAGGATGAGACACTGAGAAGCTTAAAAAGTAAGTGCCAAAAACTTAGTAAACAAGAATCTGTTAGAGTTAGGAGCAAAATGTTTGAGGCACAAACTCGGTGCTTGTGACTTCTCAGTTGCCTTTGCAAGGTTTTCAATCTCAGTAGCATCTAGGATATGTCCAGGATAGGCTCTCTTTCAAAAATACTGTCTACATTTATTGGCTAATTGCAGTTTTAGAGTTCAAACCAGGATAAAATATCACTATTTTCTGATGTGTTATCTATTATATATGAGCTGTTGCAGTTGAGTACTTCATCTTTTTCCTTAGGATAAGCAGGAGTCTAAAGCTACTCACATTGATAACATCTACTCTGTGAAGTGAAAAGCTGAGCTGAAGAGTGGGTTGGCCAAAGCGAGTTGTGTGTACATCTTTATCGGTCTAGGCTTCTGCACTATCCGAAGCTTGGATCCATTCCGTCCCTTCCCTGTCTGTGCAAGGGAAGAACATAAAGCTGTGCCCAGTCCACCTGGTCCACCAGAAAACAATGTGGGATGACATAAACCTCAGACACTCGCTGTTGCCAGAGCTCGCCCTTGTTTGTGCCTGAGCTCTGCGTGACTCTGTCAGCCAGAATCTGATGTAGCCTCAAGCCTGGCTTTTATCTGTGCTTAACTGCTGCAGCAGGCATACTCTTTATGCCTTTTTCTTTTTTTTTTCCGATTGTTGTTGTAAAGATGAACTAAGTGGGGTTTTTGGTTCTAGCGTGTCATCCTAAGTTATACAAGACCAAATCAATTTGTGTTAATAGTGTGAAGCCAGATTGGCAAGAATGGAAAAGCAGGGGATGGTTTGGGGATACGGGTTCAGGTAAATTAGCCTAGCTGTTCTAAGAAATATATGTCTTGTTTATTTGTTTGTTTGCATAGACAAA